ATAGGTATGCTGTTTCCGGCAGTGGCCGCTGCATCATCAACTTGTATTAGTTTGTGATTAGGTCTAGTTTATGGTGAACCACAAGTGGTAGGTCAATGATATTTGGTATGCAGTTGTATTAATATTGGCACATCTCATTTCCATGGAGATTATTTGGCCCTGCCCCCTCAAGCATGGTGTATTGACTTTGAAACTTTTGCTTAATTTACATGTATTAGTTTGTGATTAGGTCAGTTTATGGGGAACCACAAGTGGTAGGTCAATGATATTTGGTATGCAGTTGTATTAATATTGGCACATCTCATTTCTATGGAGATTATTTGGCCCTGCCCCCTCAAGCATGGTCTATTGACTTTGAAAATTTTGCTTAGTTTACATGTATTAGGTTGTGATTAGGTCAGTTCAAGGGGAACCATTAGTGGTAGGCCATGCAATGTTAATTGGTATTTAGTTGTATAAGCATTAGCACATCTCATTTCCATGGAGAATATTTGGCCCCGCCCCCTCAGTCATAGTCTAGTGACTTTGAAACTTTTGCTTAGTTTACATGTATTATTTTGTGATGAGATCAGTTTAAGATGAACTGCTAATGTTAAGTCAATGATATTTGGTATGCAAACTTATTGGCATTTGCAAGTATCGTTTCCATGGAGATTATATAGCCCCAACCCCTCATCATGGTTCATTGACTATGAAACTTTTACGTAGTTAAAATACAAGTTAATGTTTGTGTTTAGGTAACTGTTTAAAGGGAACGACTTATAATAAGTCAATGGTATTTGGTTTGCAGTTGTATTAGGATTGGCACATCTCATTTCCATGGAGATTGTTTAGCCATGTACCTTGAGTCATGGTTCATCGACTGAATATTTGCATAACTTACATGTTAAAGTATTGCTATTTTAATTTCAACATTTGCATTATCAAAATTACAAAAAGGTGAGACATATCTCTGTGATAACAGTTTATTACAGTTTGTTCTTATATTGTGCTGTTACACAACTGTCCCAAGTAAGGGGGAGGGTTGAGTACCAACAAACATGTTAAACCCATCCATATTCTTTATGTGCCTGTTCGAAGTCTGATAGGAGCCTGTAGTACATATGTAGTACATTGTACAGTGGTTGTTGTTGGTTCATGTATTTTATATTTGTTTTTTTGTAAATTGTTTCGTTATAAATTAGCTAGGCAATTAGTTTTCTCATTTGAATTGTTTCACATTGTTCATGATGGAGCCTTTTATAGTCGACTATACTGTACTGGTTTTTTACATTGTTGAAGGCCGTATTGTGGCCTATAATTGTTTACTATCATTTCATTTTATCTCTGGTGGATAGTTGTCTCATTGGCAATTATACCACATCTCCTCATTTTTATATTGAAGGAAATTACCTTTGAAACATGAAAAAATTATTGAAGTTTAAATAAATCTGACCATAAAATTGTAGGTCCTTTCATGTCTTAATTTCCTTGTTCAGCTGTTCAGGTCAGAATTTAGGCATACACATTTTCTTTTGTCAGATTATTTTTCTTTTTTGATCAAATAAAATATTTAATTTAACTTAGTACATCCAGGGAATATCAATATTAACATTGAACATGTTGAACACCAAACTGCCTGTCAATTTAACAGGTGAATTTTTTCATTAAACTTTGTCATGTTTGTGGCCATATCTAGATTAAAAAAAAAGGGGTCACCGACTGGTTATTCACTAAATAGCAACCTCGGTTTCGTGTTTTTCCCCCTAATGAAGATTATTTGTATGTTATTTTTAAATACTTATTAATATTGAACCAAGAACCAAAATACTGTTTTCACATTTATTTATTAAACAAGATTTGTATAGATCTATCAATTAAAGACTCATGTTTATGTTCTTAGGTGTTTTGATTTTCAAAACTAGGATTTATTTCACTCCCAAAAATAATCTGCAGAAGTGAAATACTTTTCCAGTATTAAAAAAAATATCTACTGGTGATTTCTTAATATATTAAAGAATATATATAATACAAGATGGAAAGGACTTTGTGTACAAGATTATGCATTATGTTCAATGTATTTTGATAAAAATGTGTTTACAGTTTCAGACTTGTCTAAGTCAGAAAATGACAGACTTCTTTATTTCATTTTCTGTTTGAAAATTCCTAAAACAGGATGATAACTCTTTATTAGATCTTGTAACCAAAGTACATTACCTATGACAATAACAAAGGAGTAGGTCCAGTAAGACCCCTTTTTGGCCCCAAAATACAGCAGTTTTACAAAATTGTTACAATGTTAACTTTTAGCTATTTATTGGAAAGAAGAATACTTCTGTTACATAAATATGGGCTGTTTTTGACAACACAATGCACATATATCGGGTACTAGCATCATTCAGTCATGCTAAATCACTGAAATCTTCACAATTTTAGCATTTGAGCTAAATTTTAGACGGTTTCCGTCTTAAATGGAAGTGGCCGCATTTGTGTTCATTCTTTATATTTAAATGTAAGTTGTATTTGATGATAATACATAACATATATAAAGGTTGAGAGTGAACACGGATGCGGCTACTTTAATTTTTGACAAAAACCATCTGAAAAGTGACATATTATGGCATATTTGATAGATTTTTCATATTTAAGCTCGAATTTGAGCGTCTTTAATGACTAAATGGGTTCAAATCTTTCACATAAACTAATTGAATCGACTGAAGTAGACACTTAAGTGTTTAAAAAGTGTCCAAAATCATTCATGAGATGAACCTGAAATTTGAGGCCAAAATCAGCCCTTATCGGATCTACTCCTTTTCAGAGAATTGAAAAGATCCTGAGCCATGTAAACTATCAAATGATAAGTAATTATCTGACTGAATTTTTTCCCCATATATATGTAAGTTTTTTTTCTCCATTTTTTAGTGGTTATAAATGGTTTCATTAGAAAGCAATCTAATTAAAATTAGTTCTCCACACTTGCTCCTCAGTTTCATTCAGTTGTATAAATATGTCGCACATATGACATATAAACAACCGAATGAAAATGAGGAGCATGTGCGGAGAACTAATTTTAATTAGATTGATTAGAAAGTGAATTAGCATTCTCTGTTTTTTCACTCTCACTCATATTTTTAAGTAAAATATACACTACACCTAGATAGCTTCATACAGGTGTGAAGACATTTTGACTTTGTCATCCCAAATGATGTACCCTAGTTTGTATCCTTGATCAAGTTATTGGTCATCCTGTTGGTCATGTTGGTGGCTGCACTCTGTTTTAATTTCCCCCGCTGTAGCGGAGGGGGCATTAAGTTTTACCCTTGTCTGTACGTCCCAAAATTGGTTTCCGTTCTCTAACTTTAGTTTGCTTCAACCAAATGTTATGAAACTTATACACAATGCTTAATACCACAAAACACAGATCAAGTTTGAATTTTGGTGCTGTCACTTTTACTGTTCTAGAGTTATGCCCCTTTACAAATGGAAAAATTGCTGAAATATTCGTTTCTGTTCTCTAACTTTAGTTTGCCTCAGCGAAATGTTATGAAACTTATGCACAATGCTAATTACTACATTAACACACAGATCAAATTGAATTTTGGTGGCGTCACTTTTACCGTTCTAGAGTTATTCCCCTTTACAAATGGAAAAATTGCTGAATTTTTCGTTTCTGTTCTCTAACTTAAGTTTGTTTCAAACAAATGTTATGAAACGTATACACAATGCTTATTACCACAAAACTCAGATCAAGTACAACTTTGGCATTGTTTGGGTAGTGTCACTTTCACAGTTCTTGAGTTTTGTCCATTTATAACGTATATGCAAGCGGGGGCATCATCTGTGTCCCATGGACACATTCCCCATTTATTTCATTGTTTGTTTTAGTTTTATGACATGATCTAGATATGCAAACATTTGGTACTGGTACCAAGTCAGGCTATATTTTATCTGGACCATGTGTTTTATGTTGTTTGTCTTTGGTTGTTCCTCTGTTTTTTCAGAGGAGTCAGGTGCTTATTTCAAATATTAAAGTTTGTGATAAGGTACGTCAGTTTAAGGAGAACCACTTATGATCTCCTTGTATATGTAGGACCCTGAAGTGTGATTGTCTGCACCCAAGTGCAATGGTCCTTTTTCTGAAGTGCAATGGTCTATATGGTGCGTGAAGGCCCCCCCCCCCCCCCCCCTTAAAAATCAAATGGTAGCTCCCTAAAACCAAACACTCCATAGAAACCATCTACAGTAATCTATCTTATTCCTCTCTCTCATAATATTCACAGCAGTCGAATAGATCAGTTGTTTAATTTGTTTCGTTTTGAGTAATCTAGAAGTATTTGCATTTCAAACTATACTTCCATGATTTTCAGTCTTTGAAATATTTTAATACCAGTTTTAATGGAAAATAAATATATATAGTAGTCAGTTTCTGAATGATTGTATGAATGTTGGCTTATTTTTTTCCAAGCCTATTTACAATGTGAGCTACAACAATACAGTTATTGCTGGAAATGTAATGAATATTTACCGTGACTGTTTTATATTAAATGGGTAATACTCTGGATGATTTACTAACAAACATAAAAAGCAGCTACTTACAAACAAATTGACTTCTACATTGTCATGATGTGAAAATGAAAAAAACATTGAAAATAAATTTTATGTAGTGCATCGCACTTCAGCGTTACCACCAACACACTTTAGCGTACATAGCTATCAACAAGATAGCGTCACAATGCCACCATAGCACTTCAGCGTGATCAAAAATACACCTGAAGCATCAAACCATGGCACTTCAGCGGGACCATCGCGGTTCACAGTACCATCATGGTTCAGAGTCCTTAGCAACATATATATCTTATTTCCATGGAAATTATTTGACACTGTACCATGACTTTGAATATTTTGCATATTTTACATGTTAAAGAAGTGCCATTTTAATTTCAACATTTGCATTTTACTATAAAAATTACATACAGGCAAGACATATCTCTTTGTCAACAGTTTATTATTTTTTTTAATAGGCAATAATGGAAAGTACAATGGAGGTATCTATATCAGACATCCCAGAAGAAATTCACATGTTTATCCTCAGTCGCTTGGATGGACAATCACTAGTCAGAGCCAAAAGAACATGTAAAATGTGGGCTTGTCTTATAGAAAATTTGGAGAAATTCTTTGGTATTTGGCTAATGTGTTGTTTAAATGAGATACCATTGTTTATGTTAACTGAAATAATGGGATATAATCAAAAGAAAGCAGATCACACAAGTCTAATAAAGTCCTATAAACAGTTACCATGGATATTTTGGCGAGAGATTTATGCTGAATATAAGAGAGCCTTTACCATAGAATGGGCAAAGATGAAGATGGCTGATTTGTATTATGATCAAGCTCACAGTATGGTTACTTCATTAGCTATTAAAGGTGACTTTTTGATAAATTTTATTTGTAAATATGACTGAAAAATTTGCTGTTAAAGAATTTCACAAGTGTGTTGTCTGATACACAGACAAAACATAAGTTACAACATGAATGTGTGCACTCTTTCAATTTCTGCCTATACTTTATATTTCTCCAGACCAATATCAATACAGTACACACTTACAAAGAATTACAAACTTTACAATACCAAGAATTCTGAGGATATTATACATGTACTACATGCAATGCAATGTCCCCTAACAGCTGTTTACATTTGCATTAAATGTGTTAAAATCATTCAATAGTTACCGATTTTTTTAGGACTTTACATCTTATCAATGAAGGGGTCTTTATGATATATTTAAAAATGTCATGAATGTGGTTATTGTTCAGCAACAACTGACACAGTACAACCCAATTCCTGAAAAAATCTATTTTACAACAATTTCATGAATTTTCTATCTCTTGAGACCACAACTTCAGCAAAAAAAAAAACAAAAAAACTTTAACATGTCTGCAATTTCTAATGATATATGACTTTAATATCTAATCTAATCAATTGATTTACGCAAAACCTTGAAAACAGAAGAAAGTGTGGCAACATTGTTCAACTAGAACAAAACTCAAACTTGATATGTACGGTAACTACTTATTATATGACCATTCACTCCATATGATTTAAAAAAGATAAAAGCAGTAATGTTTCTATCATTATTTAATTCATATGAGGTGTATAGTCATATAATTGCAGAAAACTGTCCAGATGGAGTGTAAACCTTCAGCTTTGCCAGTAGAACTCATAGTTTGAAATATTGTTTTTTTAACAGGGACAATTGATTTATCAATTAAAAAAGAACTGTTCTTCAGTGCCTTTAGGATAAGGCTTCAGTTAACATTTAAAAAGAATTAAAAATTTATAATGTACATTTGTAGGATTAAACAACCATTGTAATTTAAAGGGAAGCTGTCATTTTGAAAAATGTGTATTTTGGTACTGTATTATTTTATATTCTTAATTTAAAATCACATCATTTCTTTCATCACACATAGAATTAAATTCCAACAAAGAAGGAATCAGTTTTTTTATTTCAGATGGTAGATTGTTAACAGGACATGAAGATGGTAGTGTGTTCTGTTGGAAGAATGTTGCAATGGAAGGTCTTGACTTGAAACTTATCCATAAACATCAGAGGAGGGTCACTTGTATGGCTGTCACCACTACATGTAAATATAACTGGTAAAATAAAATATAAGGAGGTTCACTTGCATGGCAGTCACTACAACATGTAAATATAACTGATAAAATAAAAGATAAGGAGGTTCACTTGCATGGCAGTCACTACTACATATAAATATAACTGACAAAATAAAATATAAGGAGGTTCACTTGCATGGCAGTCACTACTACATGTAAATATGGCCCAAGAACACAGTTATTTCGTAGTGCATTTCTTTTAGACAATAAAGTCAAATTAAAAAAATTGCACCTGCTCTATCTCAAAAAGATTTTTACAGTGTAGTGTACTACTATTGGGACAAATAATATCAAAATAATAGAAAAGTCTACCAGCTCTAACTCAAAATATTGACAATTCTATGTTAAGGGGGTCTAAAATTCAGTTTGACAGCTTCAGACATACTAGTTTTTGACCTTTTTTAACTGGACCAAATCACTACTTAACATAAAGATTCAGCACCCAAATTTTTTTAACATGTAATTTCATCCCCTTACTTAATATTTCATGCATAAAATATAAAGAAATAAATTTGGAAAGTGTATGAAAAAAATTTGCAAGTTAATACACTGTCCACACTAGGGACTATATTTGTAGACAACGAAAATCGAAGGACGATAACTGTGTCCTTGGACCTAATAGTATAGAAAGACTTGACCAATTCTAATTAAACTTTGCATGACCTAAGCTTAGGCAATTATAAGATAGTTGGCCAAGTGTCATGGCCATAGGATATATATTATAGAAACTATGGCAATTTTAATATTGAAATTTGAGTCTTTAATTTTGACGTTTAAATTAAATAATATCAACTATCAAGATTTGGGCTTAAAAAATTTAAATATTGCAAAAATTTGCTTTTGAAATGCTCTTAAATATAATATATTAAGTATTAAAAGCAACTGAACACTCATTTGATTTATCAGATTTATTACAATTATTCAAAAGTCAAATTTATATGAGCATGTGCCTGAAAATAGATCTTTTCGAATTAAGGGGAGCCTTACATAAACATGCATTTTTTTCAACCAATTTGAAGTTTTTGAAGTTTTTTACCATAAATTATTCTTTCATATATATAAAATGTACTTTAAATGGAAAGAAAAGTTACAAAAAGCATACCAAATGAGTATAAAATGGTCTTAGGCTATGTAAGACTGAACATTATTTAGTGTCAATTTAGGCCGTAGCATATATTTACATATAAAAATTCATACAATAGCTATAAGAAATGGAAATTTGTTACTTTTTGCTGATTTCTATGCTAAGATGTCATGACACAAGAAGTCTAATTGCAACAGAACTCTTGCATTCAACTTGTTTTGCAGACAGTATGGTCTGATGCACAGTTTTTTCACTTTTCAATGGAAAACTTGCATGTAGTTTTAGTCTCAACTGGCATATATTTGAACCACATACTATTCTACAGAAGAAAATAAAGGTAGTATATGAAATGGATAAGGTGCACAGATCATTGTCAAGTGCTTTTTTTACAGATTTAGTGAAATTTTTATGATGGACTACGCATTCTATGTACAAAGCTCTTCACATTTCACATTAATTAAATAGGCCGTTCGACCAGGGCCTAAATACAACACATTTTGCACATTTTTTCTGTGATAATCTACTTTTCTCTTTATTCAGAGTTCACAAATGATAAATAGAATTTGAATTAATCATAGAAACACAAATATCAAAGCATAAAAAGCTGTCAGATAGAAAGTCAGCATGCCTCTTAGGCTTAAAAATGGGAACTGCTTTAAAATGCTTATTTTAGCCATATATTGTCAAAATGGGACATTTTAACAGGATTTCTTTCAAATAAAGATGTAAATTAAGTTTGACAAATTGAAACCAGCAAACCATTCAGGGACGTTGCCAAAGTACAGAATCTACATTTCCTGAATTCATCTCTTAGGCCCGAGAACACAGTTATTTCGTAGTGCATTTCTTTTAGACAATAAAGTCAAATTAAAAAAATCGCACTTGCTCTATCTCAAAAAGATTTTTACAGTGTAGTGTACTACTATTGGGACAAATAATATCAAAATTATAGAAAAGTCTACCAGCTCTAACTCAAAATATTGACAATTCTATGTTAAGGGGGTCTAAAATTCAGTTTGACAGCTTCAGACATACTAGTTTTTGACCTTTTTTAACTGGACCAAATCACTACTTAACATAGAGATTCAGCACCCAAATTTTTTTAACATGTAATTTCATCCCCTTACTTAATATTTCATGCATAAAATATAAAGAAATAAATTTGGAAAGTGTATGAAAAAAATTTGCAAGTTATACACTGTCCACACTAGGGACTATATTTGTAGACAACGAAAATCGAAGGACGATAACTGTGTCCTTGGACCATATAACTGATAAAATAAAATATAAGGAGGTTCACTTGCATGGCAGTCACTACTACATGTAAATATAACTGATAAAATAAAAGATAAGGAGGTTCACTTGCATGGCAGTCACTACTACATGTAAGTATAACTGATAAAATAAAATATAAGGAGGTTCACTTGCATGGCAGTCACTACTACATGTAAGTATAACTGATAAAATAAAAGGAAAGGAGGTTCACTTGCATGGCTGTCACTACTACATGTAAATTTATATAACTGGTAAAATAAAAGGAAAGGAGGTTCACTTGCATGGCTGTCACTACTACATGTAAATATAACTGATAAAATAAAAGATAAGGAGGTTCACTAGCATGGCTGTCACCAAGAAGGTGTAAATATAACTGGTAAAATCAAGTGTATACTTAATTTTGATTACTTTATCAGGTTTAACTAAGGAGATTTTTTACTTTTTGCTAGGACTTATATTATTAAGAAAAATCATATACAATAACCAAAAACATAAAATGGAAATACCATTTATCATTATAGCCTTCTTGATTGAGGTCTGGAAAATAGAATAACTAGGTTTACCTAATTTCTTTTTTTAAAATAGTCATTTGCTCATTGATGGAGAGTTGACTCATTGGCAATCGTACCCTATCTTCTTATTTTTATAGTTTTGACTGTTCTAATTACATTAATCATGTTAATAAATCTATATTTCAAAGAAGACATTAATTGAACTGATTTTCCTGGGTCCTTATTTATATTTGTATGTGTATGTGCATGATTTAGTGAGGTAATATATTTATTATGCAAAGGCCAAATTTTGTCAAATTGAAAATTTTGTTGTGATTGGCCATGGTTTTCTGACAGGGAGACAAAGTTTAATATAGATATCCTATTAAGTTTATAATAAAAAAATAAATACATCAACAAAATTAGTAAATGTGGTATTTCATGGATAGATAGACTTATTTTTTGTTTTCAATTAGCATTTACAGACAATTTGGTATTATATTGTTTTGACATGATAAATTTGTAAACCTTCATGGATTGTTATGAAACCGGGGCAGAAGCTTATCTTCAAGATAAAGAAACAGAATTTGAAGAAAAAAATTTGATTAAAATAAATAAATCTGTATTTGACCAATAAATGGACCTACTTTTAAGTCAACATTACACTTTTACACTGACAGAAGCAATGTTAGGCAAGAAACAGGGTTCTGACTTCAGTGGAACAGCAATGTCAGGCAAGAAACAGGGTCCTGACTTCAGTGGAACACTGTACAAATTTTTTGATAAAAGTAAATTGTTTTATTTATCTTTTTTTACCTAAAGTTTGTGATATATTTCAGGCACAGATGTATCAGAACTTTTGTCCAGTAAATGTCATACCTTAATAGTGACAGGATCACAAGATTATGGCGTGTTTGTATCTGACATGACCAAGCCAAATTCTACAGAGATAGATTACTACAACCTACAAATTAACTCCGTAAGGTAAGAAATCATTGACATATCAGCTCTAACTGATAGATGCTAATGCTGAAGTTACACTGATACATTGTCTTCTTTCATATTTGGAACACAACTACATGGATGTTTTGTATTTATTTTTGAAACAAAGTCACTCTATGCCTTTGATAAAAATCAAGCACCAACTCTTTTGTTGCTATTCCTTATCTAAAAGATATGGTCTCCTATTAATTATAAATAGAAAAAAAAAGATCTTTTGTGATGTTTTATCTACATCTTTGAATTTATAAATAGTGGTCAATTCATTTTTATATTTTATGACTGATTTCAGTTCCATTTTAATATGAACATATTTTCCATTTTGAACACAATTTAAAAAGTCATCCTGGTCAACTTAATGAAAATCAAATGATGTAAAATATTTAACCTGGTAGTCATTTCCTGCCAAAAGATTTCGATTTTTGTCTTGCCTCAAAGAACTAAAGAAGACAAGACTTAGATGTGCTGTTTTCAGCATTGGTGACGTCAACAATATGTTTTAAGTATATGATTAGCATGATTAGGTCAATTTAAAGGGAAATACTAATGGTAAGTTAATGATATTTTATGCAGTTGCATTAGTATTGACACATGTCATTTCAAAGGAGATTATTTGGTCCTGTGCCTTCAGTCACGGTCTTTTGACCTTAAAACATCTACTTAATTTATAAGTTAAAGTTTGTGTTTAGGCAAGTTTAAGATGAACCACTAATCGTTAGTCAGTGATACTCATGGTATGCAGTTGTATTAGTATTGGCACATCACATACATATGAATAGAATACTTCAATTGTTACATTAATATTGTTTTGTTTTTACACAAATGTCTCATGAAAGGCAAATTGAACACACAAAAAAATTACTAGTTCTGCTGCACACTTATATGTGATTGTCAGGAGACAGGAGCATGCAGAATATTGGTTGTCATAAAGATTACTTTAGCAAAAAAGCCAGACAAACTAAACTACAAAGTTACCAGTAATATTATTTGATTGCTTTGTTTTAAGCTGTTTTGGTCCATACATTACCTCAGTGGCTAATGGTAGCTTTGTACAAGGTCAGTCAGTGTGGCATGTATCAACTGAAGGCAGCCTGACAGTAACCCAGGAAAGTAAATTAGAACCACCTGATAACTATTCTAATCCTGCACATGTAGCATTAACAGAGGATAAGGTGAGAACAAATTGTTTATTTTAAACTTAACAAGAATCTGTAAACATAGATGGATGGATGGATGGATGACTGTTTGATGTCTAGTGGCAAGTTAAATGCATATTCTGGAAAAGAACATGGCAATGTGAAATGATTATAAACCCTGCTTTGTTACTTTGTACTTGACCGACAGGCTGATCTGAATTTTTAGCATTCTAGTTAACAAGGTAACAGTTCGTGTGAAGACATGTCAACCTACACAGACACATTGTTTTGACTCCAACCAGTCTTTTTGCTTTTACTCCTAAATGCCGAGTGTTTAGCAGGGAAGCATCAAATACTAATTCTCAAGTCTGGTTTGACCAAGCCAGGGTTTTAACCCACGACTACCACACTGCCACAAGACTACAAAGGCAGAAGTAAACAGTGGGAAAATGGGAGATGGTTTATTTCTTGACACACTATCTTAATAAAACATCATCATAGTGGATAGTTGTTTTCCAATCTCCTTATTTTTATAAAGCTTTTATTCTTTTTGGTCAAAGTCTTTGGGAGGCCTTCAACACAGAGAAGAATCAAATATCAACAATTTCATAAGTAGACAAGCAGTGTATAAGAACATCGACAATATCTGACAAGGAAATTTATATTTATACATGTTGTGTGCTTGTTGGCATTAAAGACAAATGAATTATTTCTGGTTGAGACAAGAAAAGATAAATATTATTTTGTTTATTTATTAAACAATAGTAAAATTTATAGAAGTAAAACAACTTCTTTTATTGATATAGGTATTTGTAGTTGAAGAAAATGGAGAATTATACAGATGGACATGGAATGATGGGATACCAAACAAATCTGTTGTCATTACAAATTTCGCTAGTCCTGTTAAATCTCTTATATGTAAAGATGATTGTCTGGTCTGTCTTCTTGGTAAGATAATACGTTAAAAAAAGAAAACCTGGAATCCCCTAAGATATTTGACAATACAACAGACCACAACAGCCACCGACACCTGACTACAAAATGAAAATTATATCACAAAGAAAGACAAGCAACTAACTATTGAGAAGACTTTCTTTTGTCTGATGCTTTTGTCAATCTTTCGGATAATAAAATAAAGTATGTTTAAACTAATTTTAAAACAACAAACAAATGATGTCACATGGTCCAGATAACATGACTTTGTACAGGCACACAATGTGATGGGGTAAAAACATTTTTACATTTGCACAAACCTCTTGTTTGACTATCTAGTAGATGAATGAACATGTCTTATTAAATCTCTGCTAAACTATTGATGGAAGATCTTTGATAGTCTCTGTTAACCTCATTCACCGATCTAAATTTGGAAGCAATTTCCTGCTAGACATATTGTAAAGATGCTGAAATGTTGTTGAAGACTATGTTGGCCTGTTGGTGTCATTTGATTTTTAGTTGTTATAGGGTTGCTGCCTCATTGGGGTATACCTTACTTTTCCATTTGTTTATATCTCTTATAAGTATTGAATAAGAAATGTTATAGGCTTTACAGAATTGTGCTGTATTGTGTAGACTTTACACTTTAACTGTAATATATTTATTCCCCAAAGAGTTTGTGTGAACTCTCCTCCGCTGAAACCTCACACAACATTTAATTAAAACTTGAACAAAATTAATCTTTTAGCCTCCTGTATTGAAATCAGGTCTTTGGAGCCTATTCAGATGACTACTTTACCATAGAAATTATTGAAACAAATATTTTCAAATTGTATAATGATTAATTGGACAAAGTTGAATTTGGCCTTAATGTTCCAAATATTGGTCATTTGATATTAGTTTTGTTACCCTGTCTGCAGTAAATTATTTCCTCCATATAATAAATCCCCAAAAATTTGTATCTCGGTTCATCTCAAATTTGTATTAGGAATAAAAAGAGCTTAAGACAAACTTAAAGAACACTTATTATCAATTTTTAATATTTTGTTTGCAGAAAATGGTGAATTAGAAGTCACAGATTGTAAAGCTAGTTACCACAAAAAGTGGAATATTTATGAATTATTACAGAGACAGCCAGAAAGTATTGCATGGAGAGGACCTTTATTTGCTCTGGGGACTAAAGGAGGTTTGTAAACAAAATATGGAAAAATTCTATAATGTTGTAATTTAAAATCTTCCAATGGATATCTTTGACATCATGAAATATTAGAATTCCATTAGAAAGATTTGCACATTTGTATATTAAATATAAACAAACAAAAAAGGTATATAATATAAGATGGAGTATGATTGCCAATGGGGACAACTATCTTAAAGAGTCATAAAGAATCAGATTTAAGCAATTATAGGTCACCGTACAGCCTTCAACAATTAGCAAAACCCATACTGTGTAGTCAACATTAAAATGCCTTATCATGACAAATTGTGAAATAATTGAAAATTGAAAAAAAAAACAAAAACTACCTGATTTATGACAAATCAATAAATGAAAAACAAATATAACAGACAGCAGCTAATGACAACCACTGAATTGCAGGCTCATGACTTGGGACAGGCACGTATACACTGTGACATGGTTAAATTTTCTGAACCCCTTATCAGAATTTATTGATACCTTTTCAGAATCTTAATCATATAATGCCATTACACACCTCTAAGGCTCTTTTTTGTTATTTATCTAAATTATTTTTTATTTTCCTTAACAAATCATGTAAAAGAAGGGTGTATCATTTTATGAGCTTTGCTGGCATTAGCTCTAGTTTGTAAATAGATTGAAGATTATACCTCAATCTCTTAATGTATCCTGACTGTATTTATCTATAAAATTTAATTCAGATATAACTAGATTTTGTAATAATTTTTGTTTCAGGAGTGGTATATATATATTTTGTTAAAGACATTGAAGACATGAAAAGTTTGGATCTCACAAAACCTGCATCAAAACTAACAGTAGAAGCTGAACATGTGAATCATATTGCCATAGGAGATGATGGATCTAGTCCTCTGGTAGCCATAGCAACAGAACAGTTACATTTATCACTGTTTAAATTCATAAAATGGAAATAGTCATAATTAAAGAACAAATTAGACATTAATATAAAACCATTTTTATTTGTACTTTGGTAATAATGTTTTGACATTGTTTATACCTATTTTGTGCAATATTCATAGTTATGTGGACTTTATATACTGGGTAATAATAGCAAATACCATGACTGTCTTTTGTAGTAATCTCTTTCAAGAAGACAAATTATGTAAAGTTTGTGAATATTCAACACACATCGAATTATGACATTATGCACTGGTTGCTATTTTTTTTTTGGGGTCAAAGGGGTAACTGTTTATTTTGTTGTTCATCTGATTTTTTTTTCTCTTTAGAACTTGTTGACATATACTTTTGTAAATGCCTTTGGATTGTTTGTTTTATGATAGATCAAATTTTAAAGAATCAACAATGTAGAGATGATTATATTCTTCAAAAATTGTGCTTAAGCATGCTACATATTGTTTCTTTATAATTGACAACTTAATATAGTGCAATCGAATTTAACACTGTTAGGATATACTTATAATTCTTCAAAACTGGTGCTTGAAACATGCTAGTTTCTTAATGTCAGCATAAAACTTGATAAGGTCCATGATTACATTGACACAAGATGATTTTAATGTGAAACCAATTGTTTTCTTGTTCATCTCAGTATTTATTGTCGAAACTACTACATGATACACAATCGTATTAGGATCTTTTAGTATTGAGTTCCTTATTTTTTTTTACATGATGGAAGAATACATCAAAAATTCAGTTTTACATTCTTTTATTTGTATTGTTAGGCATTCCTATTTCGAATGCAGTGTATATTATATAGTTAGGTTATTCAATAAATATTGTAATTCATTCATTTTTAAAAGGAATTCTATTTTGTTATATCATCTGTTTTTATCTGAGAAAGAACTTTTGTTACAGGAATTTTATTAAATGCAATTATATTTTTTATATCAGATGTTGAAGAATCAACAATGTGGGGTAATGATTAAATCCTTAAAAAGTGCTCCATACATGTCAATTAATGTCAGCATACAAACTTTATAATGACCCACTAAACATAGTATAAAAATCTTGTAATTCAATTCATATTAAACCCTGACAACTAAAAATGTGTACAATACAATAATTTTGATTTCTCTAAGGAACCAAATTAAAAAAACTTCAGTGAAATTAAACCTATGTTATCCTCATTAAGACTAATTATGGACTCTTACCTAAACATTACCTATATATTTTGGTCACCAGTGTTACTTAACAAATAGGTCATATAAAAAGTTCTGAGAAATCATGTTAAGGACTTATTGTAACCAAACTTCGGTAAGATAATGTATTTTTTTATTCTCTTAACGATTTTTGGTTAATTACCAAATTGGCTTTCTAACTATTATTAGAAATGGAAAAAGATTGAAACAAGGATAAAAAAAACTCTGAACAATAAAATTTTAAGAACTTATAACTATCAAAACATCAATTAAAAAATATGGTTATGATCCTCTTTTAGAATTGTGGTTGATGACTATACATCTGGCTTCAAACATGGCCACCTCAGTTACTAAAAATAGAAATTTGACAAAAGATTCATTGAAATAATTTGTAATCTGGGAGTTTATAGCTGAGCATATTGTAAAGACAATTGCTTATTTCTGATAACCATATGCTGACCTCTCAAAGTTTTTTTTTTTGCTTTGTGGGGTTCCTGTCTCATTGACATATGCCCCACATCATTTTATTTAGGGAAAGATCAATCACTTCCAAACAGTTGTGAAGTATTACATTATGATCCTCCATTAACATTTTTTGTTTATATGACCCAATCTTCTCAAACATGGCCATCGTAATTCAAAATAAAAATTGAAAATATTAAATAAAGTTCATTTACAAAAATCTCCTAGACTTAATACCATAGCTGGAGCTTAATCTTAATTCTTATTTATTTGCAAAATGCAATGAAGAATTTCTGAAAATCCATTTTAGCTTGAAATCTTTTGTAGACCATCTAGGTTTTAATAGGGTTGTAGAGTGTCCTTTGTTGACAGTGGACAGATTTTCAGGTAAAAAATACACGCTTTTTTGAGCTTTTTGTTTAATTCTAGTCTTAGTTTGATGCATTGTCATTTTTGTCATTTCTGCGACTTTTGTCGCAGAAAGCTCGACATAGGGATAGTGATCCGGCAGCAGCAGCGTTAACTAACTTCTTAAAAGCTTAATATTTCAAAAGGTAGAAGACCTGGATTCTTCATACTTTGTATATAGATGCCTTATGATATGAAGTTTCCGTCTGTCATATGCCCATTGTCCTTGGCCTCATTTTCATGGTTCAGTGACTACTTGAAAAAAAGTTCAGATTTTTTGTAATGTTAATTTCTCTCTTATTATGAGTAATAGGATAACTATATTTGGTATGTGCATACCTTGCAAGGTCCTCATGCCTGTCAGACAGTTTTCACTTGACCTTGACCTCATTTCATGGATCAGTGAACAAGCTTAAGTTTTTCGTGGTCAAGTCCATATCTCAGATACTATAAGCAATAGGTCTACTATATTTGGTGTATGTAATGATTGTAAGGTGTACATATCCAACTGGCAGGTGTCATCTGACCTTGACCTCATTTTCATGGTTCAGTGGTCATAGTTTGTGTTTTGGTATGTTTTTCTAATACTGTATGCAATAGGTCAACTATATTTGGTGTATGGAAATATTTTACGATGTACATGTCAGTCTGGCAGGTTTTATTTTACCTTGACCTCATTTTCACGGTTCATTGCTCAATATTAAGTTTTTGTGTTTTGGTCTGTTTTTCTAATACTGTATGCAGTAGGTCAACTATATTTTGTGTATGGAAATATTTTACGATGTACATGTCAATCTGGCAGGTTTTATTTGACCTTGACCTCATTTTCACGGTTCATTGCTCAATGTTAAGTTTTTGTGTTTTGGTCTGTTTTTCTAATACTGTATGCAGTAGGTCAACTATATTTTGTGTATGGAAATATTTTATGATGTACATGTCAGTCTTGCAGGTTTTATTTGACCTTGACCTCATTTTCATGGTTCATTGCTTATGTTAAATTTTTGTGTTTTGGTCTGTTTTTCTTAAACTTTAAGCAATAGGTCAACTATATTTGTTGTATGGAATGATTGTAAGGTGTATATGTCTGTCTGGCAGGTATCATCTGACCTTCACCTCATTTTCATGGTTGATTGGCCAATTTTCAGTTTTCCAGGTCAACTTTGTTTCTTAGATACTTTAAGCAATAGGTCAACTATATTTGATGCATGGAATGATTTTAAGGTGTACATGTATGTCTGGCATGGTTCATCTGAGCTTGACTTCATTTTCATGGTTCATTGGTCAGTATAGAATTTCCATCGTTTGGTCAGTTTCTTTTATACTATAAGCAATAGGTCATCTATATTCTGTGTATGGAATGATTGTATTAAAGGTGTACATGTATTTCCAGCTTTGTTTATCTGACCTTGACCTCATTTTCTTGGATCATAAATGTTAATGTGATACTTGTAGTAAAACTGTATATGTAGGACTATCAACATAAAATCAATGGTTAGTATAGTAGCTAGACATTTCAGCGTTTGCACTCTTGTTTCTATTTCTCAAACAATTTCTTTGTCAACATGCTGAATTTATAGTATGCTTTTTTTCTCATGGTCATTTATTTTCATTTGATATTATTTAAACTTTTGTTGATATTAGACATAAACAGAATCAAGGTTCTACATTTTTTCGATAAATTAGACCAAACAATGCCATTATAACACCCATTTCTTTTTTGCCAACAACTGATTCACTGACAGTATACAATAAGAAAACAGTTTATTATATATGTACAGATACAGCAGTAAACCATAATAATTTTTTTTTCAAGAAACATTGTTCATTATTATTTTAGAAAAATCTTATGCAGTAATTGTGATGGTATTATGTTTTTATCATTATTGATTTTATTTGTATTGAAGATACAGTTGGAATTTTTGCACTGTCTATTTTATTTTAGAGTCAAAGTTTTTTTATTGAATTAAAATGAAAAAAATCTTACATTCTTTAACTTGCCAATGAAGGAAGACTTTTGAATTAGAAATGGGACTGTAATTTTCTATGGGTTAATCAAAAACCTTAAGATGAAGAAAACAGACATTCCAATCAAATCTGTGCTTGGGGGGCGTCTTAAAGTTGCAGTGAGATGAGAGTTTTTTTTATCCATGTTGAAGGCCACACTGTAACTTTAAGATGAAGAACAGCAATTAAAGCACTGTTCCAATGCTTTTGGTGTTTTCACTGTGCATGTACTCACTCAGATTCTGTGTCATGGATAGATATCCAATATCCTTTTGTTTGTTCCACCATGGCCAAATGAAAAAAAAGACAAACAAACAAAAAAACACACAACAAAACACTAAACAGAAAACTTAAGATTGAGCAACACAAATCCAATCTTAAAAAGTGTATAAGAAGGGTCAGCTGGTCCTGCTACACAAGCTACCCCAACCTTGTTACTGCTGTGTTGAACTTCTAATTGTGAGTCATATCATGTGAACACACCATACAATAGCAGATTGCTGAATGTCTCTTGCCTGAGTTAAATCCTAAGACATCACAAATACAAAAACAATTTGTACATGTAATTTCTTAACCACTTAACCGAATCTGATAGTTTGAAATGTAAATAAGGATATTTAAGAAGAAGGATATCAAAACTCTTACTGATAGAAACAACACAGACATCAAAAAATAAAATAGCATGTAAAACATCACTAAAAGCTAAAGCAAAAGCTACACAGAACATGTATATTGTGTTGCTCATTGCAAGTAAAAAATGGGTAATAAGCTGCATTTGGTGATGTCAAAATCAAGGAAAAGAGAATTGAATTGGAGCTACAACAAGTGGTATATATCTGTGGGAATCTGTGGCATGACTGTCAACCAAATATTGATGGTGTCTGTAAATATGTGGTGAAATCAGGTACTATTCAGTGTAATGAATAGTAGTCATAAGGTATGACTTTTTTTTAACCAACTACTAGCCTTAACACTTCAAATTCTTAAGAGGATTCATTTATCTTGTCATTTTTCAAACCAGTGACAAGAAACATGGGAATGCTTCATGTCATTTTCCTGTATTTTACTAAAAATAGACATAAATGGACTGACAAAAATAGTTTTTTTGCAGTCAACATTTAGATACAGTCTGGGGTTTAAGTTTTATACAACAATTACTTGTTAAATTTCTATAAAATATTTTAACCTTTGTAGTTTTTTCTATGATTAAAAAACATCTGAAGCAAAATTTTGAAGATATTTTTCTCATTTTTCAGTATTTTTGCAGGATTTGGGGGATTTTTGAAAATGGACTATGATTTTTGCAGTTAACTGTTACACATACATACAGTCAGGGGTTATTTTTATTCACTCCTCAACAACGTCCAGAAGATGACATGCTGTGTCCGATAGCTGCAGATTCAAAAAATTGTTAAAGTTTGTAATTAGGTCAGTTTAATTGGAATCATGAATGGTAAGTCAATGGTATTTGGTATGAAATTGTTTGAACATTAGCCCACCTCATATCCATGGCACCACCTCTCAGTCATGGTCTACTGACTTTGAAAATTTTGCATAATTTCATGTTGAAGTTTGTGATGAAGTAGATTAAAGTCATATGATACTTTAAATTAAAAAAAATGAATATATATACTCGAATGACTAAGCTTTACTATAAAACATGTGTACTTGTATTGAACTTTCTTTTAAAAGATAATCCTTTATCTTACCAAAATCTTTAGAAATGTACTGCTATTGAATTGTTGTCTTCACATACTCGAATTCGCTGAAAAATTTTCTTTATCCTTTCATATGACTTTAATCTGAACTTTGGAACTAGCTAGACGTTAAGGAGAAGTCAATGATATTTGGTATACTTACTATACAGTTGTATCAGCATTGGTATATCCCTTTTTCACAGAGTTGATTTGGTCACGTATCTTTGTCATGGTTCATTGGCTATATATTTTGTCATGGTTCATTGACTATATGTTTTGCAAAGATTTCCTGTTAACACAATGCCATTTTGATTCCAACATTTACATTCACTATCAAAATCACATACAGGCAAGATATATATCTGTGTCAACAGTAAGTATTATATATCAAGTCCTTTGTTAAATGGGCATTAGCTGTCAAATTTTTGATCACTGATTTGACTCAAATTCTCATATTTGATTTCTAACATACTAAAACGTATATCCAAATTACAAAAAGTCTAAAATAAACAATTAACAATGCAAGGACTCGATAACATGTATCAACATTTCGTGTGTATTTTTGTCTAGACGTCATCTAATAATTACCACACATCGCCATGACCTCCGAAGACTGCCAACGGTCATATAACCCGATATAAACATAAGTTTAGATATACATAGATAGCGATCACGTGCAATTGGATTTTTCTTGGTCTGTTTGATTTCATATTGTAGGTTAAAAAGTATGTTTATCATCGTTTTTACCTGTATAAGAATGTTTTTTTTTTGGCAGATCGAATCAGACAACCAAATGGTTCATCCTTTTTTCACTTTCAATGTTAACATTCTTTTCCTTTTAATAGCTGAATACGTGCGTAACCTATCTCCAGCAAAGGGGTTTACGATGAAGGTCACATTAATACGGATTCAATGAGGTCGAATTATATTATTCACTTGCAAGTGAATAATTCATCAGCGATGCTTCTCAATATTTTATTTTGACAAAATTGAACCAGACTGGCTGCCAAAAGCGAATTCTTATTTCACTTTTTCACTTTCATTTATAATTGAACAAAAAAAAATCATTTTTTTTATATCTAATGCCTCTTAAAGCTTTATGGAATGTTTGAAAACTTGGATAGAAGCATTTTCATGATAAAGAAAAAGCATCGGAAGAAAAAAAAAAGATTTTGACTTTTTATTTCATATCTTACTGATAAAAGGACTGTTGCTAATTCAACATTTTTACACTGACAAAAGCTATCTCAGTCGAAACAACCTTTACAAATTTATAATAAATGTAAACAACCAGGTGACTCTTAAATATCAGCAAACTATTAAAAATGCTTATAAAAGAAATGTTACTATTGGATTAAACTCATTTTTTTCAAGAGGCTATTGATGTATAAACTGTGGTGATTAACTCATAGACTAAATTCAAGTTTTGCCACGATCTTAATGCGCCAAGATCTTTCATGTTATGGGCAGAATTTTATTTAATCTAAATTTTATATTACATAATTACTAACGGACCTATCCGATTCAAGTATTTGTAGATATGCAAATCAGATAAGAAATTTATACTTGTAATTCAGAACTCTGATTGGCTTATACAGCTACTGTAGATTCCATATAAACCATTGACATTATTTTCCTAATTTTTTTGTCAGCTTTTCATGTTAACATAAATTAAAATTATCCCCAAGAAACAACTGATAAAACAAGGATTGACAGAAGCTGTTCAATACTAGTAACCTTAACAAAGCTTTAGAGTTTATTACAAATCCAAAAGGAAAGACTGCCCGGCATTATCATTTGAAAAGAAAGATGTATGGTCAATTTACATTGAATGTATTTTACACCAGGGACATTTTCAGAAATGTTATAATCTTTACTAAAATTCACAGTATCACAGATCTATTTTTTGGATATCTCCATTGGTAAGTTCCCTTTCTTTTCAATACGAAATCTGGAGTCGAAACACCAATTGACTTAACTAGTTGTACAACATGTCTTTCGAAATGCATGGCTGATTAAATTAACTTTCTGCTGTTCTAGAGCGTTTGTTAAAACAGTTGAAAACAACGATACAGCACCATCAGTAGACAATACTTAAGTCTAGATTTCTTCTCTTTGTAATTTAACGGTCTCATATCATCACGAACATCATAAACGTAACTGCAACTATAAATATCCTTATGTGACTAACTTCTACGTAACTGCGAGCACCTTCGATATTAATACATCTTATTTCAAAACTTTATATAGTACCATAAACTCCACCCGTATAAACCGTCAAAACTTTATATAGTACCATAAACTCCACCCGTATAAACCGTCAAAACTTTATATAGTACCATAAAACTCCACCCGTATAAACCGTTAAAACTTTATATAGTACCATAAACTCCACCCGTATAAACCGTTAAAACTTTATATAGTACCATAAAACTCCACCCGTATAAACCGTCAAAACTTTATATAGTACCATAAAACTCCACCCGTATAAACCGTCAAAACTTTATATAGTACCATTAACTCCACCCGTATAAACCGTTAAAACTTATCTCGTGCCCCATGCACCTTATATCAAACTTTACAAATAGTGAGTACTGTTGCAAAACTTGTTATACTAGATCTCATCTTTATATAAGTCATTCAAAAACAAACGGGGAAAACCCAATTTAAAAAAAAATGAAATATAAATTCATTTTGTTAGAGACGTTCTTCAATCTGAGACTAATATAACACACGTTATAGTTGTCTCAGCTTCAATAAAAAAATGAAAAAAAAAACACGAAAGATTTTCAATATTATACCACAACACCAGTCCGTCAACGTCAATATATAGCGCTAAATAACATTTTGATTTATGGAAACATGTAAAATTGTTGGAAAATGTTTTAAAGTATAATTATGATGTATATTTAAGAGTATTTCTTATTCAAATTTCAGTATAGGATTTGACAACTTTTAGATTTTGACAATGACTGAATAAAACAGATCCAGAAGAAATTAGATAGTTACTAGTTATTGTATATATGTTGTCAGAAATATACAAATAAGCTACATCATTGTATTGATCTGTTTAACAAATTGATAAAAAAAATCCTTCAGATTTACTTTGTTTTTGAAGAGACCCTATCATTACAATATGAATAAGTTCTACAAGTTCTAAATCATGGATTTCTTGAAATCCTTGTCTAAATGCAGACATACGTGTAATTTCGTAAATCCTACCAATAACGTATACCTCGGCCTAAGTGTACTACGTAAATCAAAGTAGAGCTTACTTTTTCC